AAATTAACGAGCAATTTCATTGGTAAGATTGAGAGAGACTTTCAAACGTTTATAACGTCTGGATTGACTGATTATTGGTGAAATGTTAATTATATAATGAGCAGATTTAATGAGCGAAAATGGAAGTGAGTTCTTCGCAGTAGTGAAAATGGTCGCAGCTATTGCGGCGTTTGCATTTCAGAATTTGCGTTCTCAGAGAATTAATTAATTACTTTGAGAGCTGGCATTCGAATTAATTACTTTGGGAACTACTAATTGTGTGCTTTGACTGTTGCATCCAAACAGTCAATTAGCACGACTTGTAAGCTTAGAATTCCGTCACTTTTCTTCGCCATTCATTTCACTGCTTCAAATTAGACTCAGCCAGTATAATATATTGCATTTTTTATCTCTTTTGGATACAATTTCGATTATTTTCTTCTGCTTTATTTCAATACTTAAAGAGATTTGAGGCCGTCAAAGTCACTAATTATTACTTTGAACGAATATCGCTTGCATAAATCGCCTCACTTACGTCTTTTGTACTTATTTTAAAAGCAAACGTGAAACGTGTTTTGAGAAGGATAATTTCCGTCTGATAACAATTATGGAATAGTAAAGTAATTTTGTGAAGCTGCAACAGAAATGACAACTTTAAGTTGTGCAAAAGTGTGCTATCAATGCTTCGAACGTCTGATATGAACGCAAAGTCGTACGATTATGACCTAGCTAATGCGTTGGACTAACTTTTCGATGTGATCTAGCTTAGCATATGTCAACCGCTTAGAACTATGTACTGAATGCATTGCTCACAATTCGTCACACATGAGAATGTGCGCTAATTAGTGGAATATTATGCACTTAAATACTTCATCACAGATAAGTTTGAGGGGAACACTGCGAGTGAAAAGATGTAATGCTGAGAAAATAATAGCGCTGCCAATGTCAAATATTGGCAAGTGTTGTACGTTTGAGAAGTCTTAAAAAAGAGTTCAAATGTCAAAAATCTTAACTTTGCAGTGAATATATTTGTCAGTAACATTTTGTTCCTTAGATAAACCGATTCTGCCACACTTAATCGCTAGCTTTGGCTTCAAATCTGTTCAACAGTATCGCTCTGCCAGTATTTTGCATGGCATAATTATTGGCCTTCGCCTGAAAAACTTTCTTCTGTCTTCGACTGACTGGCAGTTTCTTCAGCAAAAGTAATCTGAATCGTTTCAGCTCAGATATGGCCTCGGCCATCAGTGACGAACAAAGCAGATCTGCTGCAAACGCACAGCCGTACACAATTTATCACAAGCTCACCGCTGAATTCATCGGTGTTCTGATTTTCGTCTTTTTCGGTCAGTTCTAAAATTCAAGCAAAGTACTGCACGGGAAATTCAGAGTTATATCAGTTCGTGAACAAGCAATTTGCAGGAGTAAGTCAAGCGCTAGCTCACAACAGTCTGCTAGTAGCTGCTCTCACCCACGGATTGATATTGTTTGTTCTGATCAGCTCGCTGAGTCACATAAGGTAATTATTAATTATTTGTTGACCACAACTAGATTTTATTCAGTTTCTTGGTTACTCTCACCACAACAATTGCATTTTGAGTTGCTAACTGCATACATTAGCAGAGGTCAAGTAACTGCATTAGCTTGACCTCACCTTTCTGCGTTCCACTTGCGGTGAAAGGTTTTTTCTCATTTGTTGTTAAGTAACAAATTTTCTCAAATTTCATCGGTGGCCACTTCAATCCAGCTGTCACGCTGACAATATATTTATGCGGAAAGATGCGACTCCTCGAGGCTGCTTGCTACATTGTCATCCAACTAATCGCAGGCTTTGTCGGTGTAATGTTGTGCCGAGTGAGTTCAGTCTAGTCCTTCCATTTGATCTAATCCAAGTCTGATCAGTTCGACAGTTCGATCTTTGCTATTCTAACAAATAAACTGAAAAAGTGTCGAATGATTTGCTCAACAAATAAATGATAGTTCAGTAAAAATTGCATTAATTGTACACTTTCCAACTTGCTCAGCAAAAATACAGTTGGTTGAGTTCATTGTAGGCAATTATGAATAGCGAGCAGTGGTCAGGCATAATGGCGGGTGCAACAGTTCTACAGAGCGGTCATTTTTGGTACCAGGTGATATACTTATGAACTTACTTATTTATGCGAATTTGGAGAGGAGAGAAAGTGACTAATGAAAAGATGAGAAGAGTTGAAGGAATTACGTCAAATTTAGTTGTAATCGCAAGAACGGAAATGATAGAAAGTAAGGAATGCAAAATAATAACAATAATAATTATTGACTAATTAATTAACTAGTGATGATGAATTGCAGGGCGTGATAATAGAGACTATCCTCACGTGGGTATTAACTCAAACAGTTCTGATGTCAGCAGTTGATACAACCGAAAACTCTTTCGCACCGCTCGCCATCGCATTTTCCGTGACGTCTGGCATTCTTGCTGGGTAATTTTTAGCAGCAAAGTTATAAATTAAGTTTGATTTATGACATCAAAGAAATGCTTGAAAGGTGAAGAGAGCAATTACAAATACAAAATACGTACCAAATAATGTGAAAACAAATAAACGACAAGCTAAGTTCACGCACGTTTTCTCGACGAGGCAGTTGCTTATGCGAATTTCGTCTCATAATGTGATCTTTCAACAAATTCTATCACAAATCAAATAAGTTTGTGCTTTGAGAAATAAACAAATGAGTGTATTCACAAAATGCGTGTGCCTCAAATTTCAGAGGGAGCATCTCGGGGCCAAGCATAAATCTCGCACGTACGTTAGGACCGTCCGTCTCTTCTTTGATCTTTCCCACAGATGAATGCATTTGGCCTAGCCAATACATTTACTATATTGGAGCCCTTCTCGG